TAAGCACCAGGCAGGGCTCAGTGCGGCCCTGCAGCCCGTAAGCAGTGAGCGCGAAAATGCTGCTCACAGGCGACTGGACACGTTCAACATCCGCTGCGTGCGCAGCAGCGTGGCCAGGATCTGGTGCGTGAGCGGGCTTGGTGCGATAGGTCCAGCTGCAAGCCACGCGCGGCAGAAAAAGTCAACCACGTCCTAGCCGGGAGTCTTTGGTCCAAGTTGCTTCCGGCATTTCAACAACAAGGCCCAGAACAACTCGAGACACAACCACCGGCGCAAGCGGCTGGGCAGATTCGGCGGCAGCTGCAGCTATGTTGCAGGGACCTTGTGGTGGGGGGGGGCCCTCCTTAGTTGCTCTAAAACAATCATTTGCGTGGTGGCGCGAGGGCCCCCCCCGTCCCCCCGCTGTAAACTATTGAAAACGGACCGCGTGCGCTTTTGACCTAGGCTAAGTGAATGGTAAACGACAACTCCCGCAAGCTCCACAGAGCTAGCTTTCGTGATAATAGTGCTACTATTCAGGGCCTTACATATCCATATTATGACCATTACTACACTGTTGCTGAGTGGGGGCAGTATCCAAGACCTAACAGGGATCTGGAAGGGCTCTTCTAAGCGGCTTCGGGCTTTGGGGGTTTAGGGTTTAGGGTTTCGGCTTCGGGTTTTGGGGGCTTTGGGCATATGAAGAGCTGGCACGGCCCGCGAGTCTCGAGACCCCTTTGTCCTCGACTGCCCGAGGCCCCGCAGCCTCAATAAGCGCTACTGTAGGGGCCTTTCTTTCCGAGAGGCTGAAGGTCCGGAGGACGTGCCTATAATGTAGGGGGCTTAATGATTAGAATAGGGTTTGGAAGTATATTATTATGACAAAGGTTATGACAAAGAACGAGGTTTATTTTTTTAGGCCCTATTAGCCCTAACCCGTCATGCAATGAAAGTTCCTCTGAAGTCCTACCTAGAAGGAGCACAGGTCTCCGGACGGAAGCCAACACTCAAAAAGTGCACATGAACCTACTCAGAAAACCCAATACCTCTTAATTAAGGAATATACCCTTAAACTATGGGGGCCTTAATATTATGGCTTAAAGTATATTCCTGAATCAAGGGGTACTGGGTTCTCTAGGTACTCTACCGCACCCAAAGAGCTTCGCCATCAAGCCTTGGATTCTGAACCCCAGCGCTCTGAAAAAAAGTGCCGGAGTACTTCTGGATGCTATTCGACAGGGCTCCTTTCTGTTGCACTGCTCTAAATCTTAAGGGCTTCGTTCGACCTATCAGGACTACAGGGAGCTACTCATGGCTTCTTCCCTTAAGACTCAACCCTAAACCCTAAACCTAGGAGTTAGGATTAGGGGGACCCTTGGGGATATAGACGCTCTCAAGAAGGTCCCGTTTAAGAGAACCAGAACTAGGGGTTAAGAAGGGCACCCTTTAAAAAAGGTCTACCCAAAATACTACCTAGGAACACCGCCTCTTGTTTCCCTCCGAGACCCTAAACCCTAAAGCCTAAAGCCTAAACCCTAAAGCCTAAACCCTAAACCGCCTCCTTTTTTCCCTCCGAGAGGCCCAGAGTGCGCAGCTGCATCTGACGGTAGGCGCGCTCGAAGATCCAGGTGAAGCACTGAAGCGCAACGGAGCGCTCCTGGAGAGGTTTTGAGGGCTTAGGCTTTCGGGTTTAAGGTTTAGGGTTTAGGGCGTAGGCTTTAGGCTTTAGGCTTTAGGGTTGTTGGTTTAGGGTTTAGTCTTTAGGGTTTAAGGGCTTAGGGCTTGCAAGAAGGCTTAGAGGGGGGGGGCTGAGAGAATGCTTGAAAAGGAGCTATAAGAGGAGACAGTCCTGGCGTTTAGGCCTTGGGGACTTCTAGGTTGAGGGTTTTTTTTTGGGCTTTGGGGTTTTAGGGCGTTGGGGTTGTGGGGCTTAGGGCTTTTAGGGGGTTTTAGGGTTTTGGGTTTTTTTTGGGCTTTTGGGGTTTAGGGCTTCAGGAGCCTTGAACTGTTGGGATGAGGTGTCTGGTGCTTCGCAGGGTTTCGTCGGGGAGCAGAATGAACCGTAAAGGGGACGGTATTACTAGTATGTTAAACTACCCCCCCCCATATTGGAATTAAGGTGACTGCTAAAATGCGGTTTTTTTTTCTGGTGGCATGGCGTTTAGTGTCAGCACAGATATGCATATGCCGATCACAGGCTGCTACTGTTCGACACACACTTCCTTGGATTCAGAGATAGCTGATGTTTTCCGAGGTTGCCGGGCAGGTATCCCATTGGGGGTGTATTGGATTTCGCAAAAGGTTCAAAGGTTGATCGAGCAACAAGAAATCACCGAGCCTTGCCATCCTTCTCTTTGGAATCTATGTGGGGGGGGGGTGTCCCTTATTTGCTGAATCCTAAACCCTAAACCCTAAACCCCAGAGCCATGGAGAATAGAACACCCAGGTTTTATGCACCGCCGAGGGACCTCGGGTGGCAGGTCCGGAATGCCGTTGATGCAGTCCACCAAGACTGTTTTGGTGCTTTCCTCAAAAGGGCTACAGAAGCAGATGGTGGTCGTAGGGGTGTACATTTGTGTAGGAAAGGGCATGTGGGGTAGGCAGATAGCTGGGTAGCTACAGTTAAAGAAAGAGGTCAGCACTTTCACCACCTTCGCACATGATGTTTCTTGCATACATCAATCAAGCATGCACTGTGCCCAAAACCATGACAGAGAGGTTGTCCGGAGGTGACGAGGCAGTGCCTGCGCCTCGCTTAACAAATTAAGCTTCGACATTTTCCTGTGGCTGCTGCATCGAAAAGCCAAAAGACTGGAGATCGCCCTAACTATTGCCCTTACTTGTGCCAGGAGCACCCCGGAAAAAATGGGGTTGCGTTGTTGTCGTGGTTTGGGGTTTTGAGGTGTTTCGGGACCTTCAGGGCCTGGATTTCAGACGCGGCTCGATCTCGAACTTATAAAGCCGCCGGCCGGAGGAGTAGTGGTTCAGGGACACGGAGCAGGCCTCAGATGTTCCACGGAAGAGTCATAGGGATCGGCTGAAGGACGTTACAGGGGCTTCGCGGACTCGATTTCTCATCGAAGCAACGGAGGCCTTCGACACCTGCACTGCTCAACCCCCAGTCGGCGACACGGCCCCGAAACCAAAATCTTGGATTTGAGCAGAACTCTAAAGTCCGGTCACCAGAATGCCCTCGTTCTCCACCGTCCCGCCGAAGCAGCGAAATGAGGACCTTGAACGGCTTCAGTGGTTTTATGCGCTCGGCGCTTAGACATCAGAGTTTTGGGCTCGGGATATCTCGGGGCCCAATGTGTCTGCTAGGATTCGGGTGATTACGCCAATGATTACGCTTTGTGCTGTGGAATGGCGTGCATGCAGAGAAGTTCAAGCCACTCGCTGCCACTCGCACCGCACACTTGGCTGATTACCCTCAAACCAACCACGACACCCAAGAGCTTGCCCGGGTGAGTCTCAGAGCCTCTGGGAGTAATCATTATTACTAGTATTTATTGTTGCTGTTGCTACTAGCATCATTAGGATTGTTATTCGTCGTCGTCGTCGTAGTAGTCGTCGTCGTCGTCGTCGTAGTCGTAGTCGTAGTAGCAGCAGCAACTCCTAACCCTAGGAGAAATCAACTTCAGATAACACATACCGATGCACTCTAATCTTGCCGGAAGCTCAACCATCACCTCGCCACTGTCTGGGTTAGAGGGTAGGGCCCAGCAGCGTAATGTTCACTTCTGGCACTTCGTTGATTGCAAGCTGGATGTGGCGCCTACACCCCAACCCTGAAGCTCACGAAATCGTTTTGCGAGCTTAGAGCCACTGCCTGACATTCTCTACTCCAACAACAAAGCCTCAATTATTATTTTTATGCTGAAAGACCCACACCCCGCAGGCCGAAACCGCCAAGACAAATCCCCAAGAGCCCATAAGCCTCAAGAGCCTTTAGCCTTGCAAGGGCCTAAAAAAAACTGAAAGCAAAAAACTAAAACGGTACCCCGAAACCTCCCGAACCCAAACTTCGACATCAAGATCCCTAGACCTTGCCTTCTAACCCCGCCCTTACTACGTACCAGAAATACACCTCCCCAAAGAAGAGCGTACAAACAAAAGATCACTTTCCCCTAAACACTAAACCCTAAAACACCCTAAACCCTAAACCCTAAAACACCCTAAACCCCTAAACCCTAAACCCTAAACCCAGAAACCCAGAAACCCCGAAGCAAAAGATCACCTTTTCGGGGGTCCCGGCTCCTCGCCCAGCTCCAGGCGACCTGCAGGCTCATCCTGGCCTCTTTTGGGAGAGTTAGTTAGGGTTTAGGGTGTTTTGGGTTTTTTGGTGTTTGGGGTTTGGGGTGTTTTGGGGTTTAGGGTGTTTTGGGGGGGGTTTAGGGTTTAGGGTGTAGGGTTTAGGGTGATTTATGGTTTAGGGCTTCGGGGTTAGAGTGTTTTGGGGTAGTCGATCTCAAGTACGCCTGTGATGCACACTCAAAGTGTAGTATCTTATCTCACCTGATATTACATCAGGTAACATGAAAGAATGCTACGTTATGCTGCGGCGCGAAGCAAAGCACTACGCCATGCTGAGTTACATTATGTTAAGTTACACTGAGTCATGTCACGTTGCACTACATTACATCACATCACGCTACATTGCGTCACTGCAACAGTACCCCGGATGATGCTGACCAACCTCGTATTTTCCCGTAAACCTGTTGCTGGAACTCAGATCCACGCAGGCCCCGCAGTCAAAACCACACAGACCGAATCACGGTGCACAAATCAGAGTCCATATATTAGGACTGATGTAACCATCTGAACTTATCAAGAAGACAGGGTCTTGCAGCTGCAACCGAGGAACACTAGTACAGTAGCATTCCAACTTGCCTGTGCTCTCATACATTCCGTTTTGGGGTTTTGGGGTTTAGGGTTGCGGGTTTTGGGTTTAGGGTGTAGGGTTTTGGGTTTAGGGTTTAGGGTTTAGGGCCCCGCACTCTCGATGCCACGAAAAACGTCGCCTGGCCCACGAGATTGGACCCAGAGACGCCTGGGCTGTGCCGGGCTGGGAGGGCAGAATCCTAAAGCCCTAAACCCCTAAACCCTCAGGTTTAGGGTTTAGGGTTTAGGGCTCCTAAACCCCTAAGCCCTAAGCCCCTACTAAACCCCTAAATCCCTAAATCCCAAACCCCTAAACCCCTAGACCCCTAAACCCTAAACCCTAAACCATAAAGCAATAAACCCCTAAAGCCTAAACCTGGAAGCCACAAGGTCTCGACACTGAGGCCCCCGCTGACCCTCGCGCAGTGTCAGGGTGGCCCCATCTGGGATTCGGAGAACCTCGCCGCGACAGACCTGTGGGCGAGCATAAAGGAGCCGGGGAAGCCGGTACTCGACCCTAAACCCAACACCCTAAACCCTAAATCCTAAACCGTAGTTCATTTCTGTGCTCCCTCTGGGTTTGGGGCATACTGGCTTCAGCAGGGGCAAAGTTGGCTTCAACTCAAACTCTTGGCTTATGTATACAGGTGTCCAGAAACATAAAGGCTGCATTGAAACATGTGTGTATACACTGCGCCGAAACATTGCTCATCTGATTTTGCCTTTTGAGGACCCGAACTTTTCCACGAAGCTTAGGATGGGGCATAGGATTCGATAAGGGCTTAGGGTTAGGGTTTGTTTAAACACCTTGTTCCACCCAGCAGTGCAAGCGGAATCCACAAATCGCAGCAGAAGGTCTGCACTGAGGCCAGCAGAGGGTTTAGGGTGGATTGGGGATGCTGTGAGGCTTGCCTCCAGGGAGAAAGGATGCAGGGTTTGAGGCTTGGGGGTGTCGGGCAGCTGCCATCAAAGGCTCTCAAAGGCTTCCGGAAGTGCCCAGTCCCAAACCCGACAAGAATGAACGAACAAACGAACAATCTAGGCATGCACATGACATGGAAGGACGAAATATCACATGGGCATGGCCATCAAAGACCTGGAACCCGAACCCGGAGCAACAACATACCTCGTAGTCTAAAAATTGCTCCCGCAAGGCATCTGCCACCATCGCAATGTAAAATGGTGAAAACCAGCGGCCTCGGAGGACTTGAGCCTTACAAACCCTCTACTGTAGGGGCCTGAAAAAGCAGAATAGGGCTTGGGGGGTACCGCTTGCTACAGTTGTTGCAAGGCACCCTCAGGTGTCTGATTGCTGTCTTAAGGCCATTCTCCTACCAGAAGAAGCGCTTCTGGAGATTCGCCTCCCACTGGCGCCGCCGCAGATGTGCCAGGGACGTGCGGTGCGGCCCGGTGTGGCCCAGCTTCTCGCAGTGGAAGGTGCCGGGAGTGTAGAGCTCCTTTTGGGTCAGGTCGAGGCTTCATGGGTTCGGGGTCCGAAGAAGCGGCGGTGCATCACAGACATGCGCTTTTTGTTCAGAAGGCATGCGGCAAGCTGACTCTCTGAGACGTTTTTAGGCTCCCCTTGTGCTGGCTCATGTCGGCCTCACATCTACAGACCCGAAAGCGCTCTGGAGGCCCCTGCAGAGTCCGAATCCACACCCATACTCGGGCTCGAAGGACTTAGATAAGGTCTTGGGGACAACCTGATAGCTGCAAGTGTACAGAGATCTTCCAAGGCAGAGTTGCAGCGGACTCTAACTCTAATGTCTTTGCTAACACACAGCTGTGTCTTTTCTGACAGAGACGTAAAATATGGATTATTAACACCATTTGATAATTTAAAATAATCATTAATATCTATAGAGTCGCGGCCGAGGCGCCACCATGATCTCCTCACTATCAATGTAGTCCAGGACGACACAGGGAAGCCTTGCTGCTGCACATAATGCAGGGGCCTTCATATTTGGAGTAGGGTTTTGGGGTACATTATATCATGAATAGTAGCAAGGAATCCCAGTATTAGCGAGGCAATCATTATTAAGGCCCCTATATTGGGACTCTTCGAACTGATGGTGGCTGTGAAGGTCCCTATACAATCAAGCTGGAAGAACCTCTTTGTTTTTACAGGCTACGCGGGTTTATCCGTCAGAGTCCTGGCTCTTAGGTTGCGCACAGCTCTGGCTGTTGCCGGGCTGCGCCACGAGGCGGGAGTATGAAGATTCTGTCGATCGTCGTCGCCGTTGTGATGGTAGTGCTGCGGGTGGTGTCGGTGTCAGTGGAGCTGGCGGTGGTGCTGGTGGCAGCGCTGGTGGGGATGCTGGTCGCCGTAAAGAGAATACGAGTGTCGCCCAAAAGGTGCCACCAGAGGTCTTCTTGCATGACTCTGGCACCTTCATGTACCACCTCTTACTGAAACGGTCCTCTCACTGCTTTCACAGATCATGGTTTGTACTAGTCGGACAAGGGGCCAATCGTTCTCCATGAGCGCTTCGTAGAGGTCAGCTTCACCAACGGTGACATCCTGCGAAGTCTGGTGCCCAACTTAAAGAAAGTCAACCCTAGGTTCAGGGAAGACCGAGACACGCGACAAATGACTAGCGAGAACTGTAAGACTAACAAACCTAGACAGCTACTCTCCTAGCTGCTATGCCTCACTCCCGCATGCACAGAGGGGGCTAGTCTTTCGCCTCCTAAGAGTCACCAACAGGACCTAGTGCCAAAAACACGTTGCAATCGTCAAATTGAGCAAACCCGAGACAACCGTCGTTGTACTTCAGGAACATCGGCGGAAGCAACTTGCTCTGGTGCAGGGCACGACGACAGCACGCACAACCCTTAGACTCAGACGAAGCAGCAGACAAGGTTCCTCAAACCGGAACAGAAAACTGCTCAAAACTGCTCCTGTGAACAAACCGCATACGCAGGGCTCCAGAGACTAACAAGCAGCAATACTCCTGCATCGCCTGACCTGACTTGTACTTCTGCAAAAAATTAGAAATTGTCACCTCTGCCTGTATGGCCGCCGGAAGCAGTGGCGAAGCATCCACTCTGAGGCCAGCAGCGCAGTCGCCGCCGAACTCCAGGGTGCGGACCTAGGCACTTAACACAACGCCGCTACAGGGCATTACGAACAGGTTGACTTAATTCTTTGGGGTTTGTGGGCAGTACGCAATTCAGGCTCAAAACGGACTACACGAACGATGCCATTCCTCACAGAAAGGAAGCTGCCTGAAAGCTATCTCCTACTTACCATGGCTTGCTTGAGAGGAGGGTATTGGACAACGTTGGACAACGCCCAGCATGACAACATCGCAGCTCTTTGCAAAAAGCTTCCTCAGGATCTAGAGCGGTATGTCAAGTCTTGGATTGGCGACTTGAGGTGCAAGGAGACATCCGACGGTCCGACAGTCGACGTCCGAATGTGCCCGTGTTCCCATGCCAAACTTTGCATACGATTCTGGGCCGCCCTGAAATCTTTCACACACCACAATGCTGTCTTACGCAGAAATGGATGGCTATACCTTTTCGGTATAAGCATGCATCTACAAACACATATATGTACGAATGTACGTATGTACGTAGTACCTCTGTCCGCACGCGCGCGGGTATGTACGTATGTATGTACGTATGTAAGTATGTATGTATATGTATACCTATACGTATACATATATGTATACGTATAGGTGTATGTATATGTATACATGTGTATATACATATATATATATATATATATCTTGTTTCAAGCAGCATGTCCACGAACAACCCGTCTCAGGCACCAACCCCCAATGCAGCTTCCACCATCTGCTGGCGTTTCCTGGGAACGTAGCTTCCAGCATCTGGGGACGGGCCTAGTGTGGGGGATTTACTAGTTTCACTGGGGCTTTGGGGGGGGCTATCTTATACTATAGCTACAAAAGAGGGGACTCGGACTTTGCGGTGGACAGGGAGGGAGATCCACAACGGATCCAGGGTTGAGGTTAAGAGTCCTGCCATCACCAAGCCAGTCCTAAAAGCAGGTCAGGAGTTTCGCTCGCGAAGCTCCCTCTCAGTTCTGTCCTGTCTTCTCAGATTTGTGTCTCCATGACAGACACCCGGCGACGATATGCGCAAACCGCCGAGACAAGATCATGAGACAGGTGTTCATGCTGAGCTCATCAGGAACTTGGCACCCTGCACGTACCCTTCAGAGCCTTGCATGGTCATCAGAAAAACAGCCCACAAACCCTCATCCCCTCAAGGCCAAAGGCACGCTCTCCGAGGCACATCGAAGATGCTGCGCTTGAGCTCCGTCTCCTGCATAGCTTGGGACTTCGAAAAGGATTCTTGAGATACATTTGCGGCTCCCCAGTCGCTTTGGCATTTAGGGCTCAGGTTGAAGAAGTCGCAACTCAAAGGTTCATGGTTAAGAGGGGTATTGTCTTTTGAAGATGCACAGATGTTTAAGACAACTGTCAAAATGCCCCCCGGCCCCACCGGCTTCAAAAAACGAGTAAGAATAAGAAGAAGAAGAAAGAGAATGATATTCATAAGAAAAACAATACTAATAACTACAATACTCATGATAATACAAAGACTATTCAATATAGTCGTTATACGTACAATACTACCAATAGCAATATCACAATAATCATAGTAGAAGAAATGATAATATTATATTGATAATGACAGTAAAGATGATTTAAAAAATAAAAAAACATGAATTCAAATATATTGATAATAGTAATGTTCCCTATAGCAATATCAATATGAATAATACAAATAAAAACAATAATAACAACAATACTAATGCTAATGTTAATGCAAAAAATAACAGTAACAATAATACTATTAACAATCATACACATCATAATGATAACAATGTGCAAAATAACATTCAAAGTAATAACAACAATAGTAATAACACAACAATACGAACAACGTTAATAGTAACAATAAACACCATGTCAATAATGATACTGCTGACAGCATTGCTAATCATAGCAACTCACAACTTGGAGAGGGAACAACGAGTTGGTGACCCTAAACCCTAAACCCTAAACTCCCAGGTCTCCGGCCTCACGGGGTAGCATGGGCTGATCCGCCTGTCCGGGCAGGCTTCGGGTTCAGGGTTTAGGGCTTACGGTTAGGGTTTAGGGTCGAGGGCTTAGGGCTCAGGGCTTACGGCTTGGGCTTTAAGGGCCTAGGCATGTGTAATAAAGAAGAAATCAACCCCCCCCCCTTGTTTCTGCAGAAGAGCTCTGGGCCCTTCCCTGATGGCCTTGCGCGAAGGCCCTGAGTAAAGCTCAGGAAAGAAGAAATCACGGCAAAGATCAGGGTTCTATACGGGTTTCTACAAGAGCTACTAGAAGCCTATAGAAAGGATTTGGGGCATCTTGGGGCTTAAAGCCTAGAGTGTAGGGCTCAGCGGGCCGTGCGGGCCTTCGATGTCCAGAGGTCGGGGCGGGGGCTTCAAGCATCAGCTGCAACTTGGGTTTGAAGGGCTTAAGCAAGGGTTTCGGGCTTCCAGAGCTGCGGACCTTTGGGGAAGACGGTCGGGGGCTCTGTGGGAAGATCCGCAACCTGAAATCCCACGGAAGGACGCTCAGGATCCTTGCTAGCAGAGGCAAGGCCCAAGACCGTGAAGCACTTCAAAACCCTAAACCCTAAAACTTCTAAGCGGTTCCGAAAACCCGAAAAGCGACAGGGGAGTCCCTGCAGATCGGATCCACCAGAGTGGCGCGGGGAATGCCACGATTGCACATTAGCGACCGTGGCACAGGACTTGGCATGGTCATGATGCCAACTATAACAGTCAATTTAATGAAGACATCTGATGAACAAAAGTGCTGATGACGACAGCCAAACACGAAATCATCGAAATTGTAACAATAGTATTTGACACCGCCACTTCTGAAGTTCAGGCCGTGCCACATCAGCAGACAAAAGGTACGAAATCAGGTCCGAGGGTTAGCCATACGAAATCCAATCCGAGTCCTTGCGCAGGCTCTCACATCATCAAGGCTAGCAGCAGCAACAGCAGCAGTCGTGGTAGTAACCGTCGGGGGCAGGAGCAGGAGTAAGTAAGAGCAGCACGAGGAGGAAGAGCAAGGGAGTAGTTAGCAGCAAACAGGAGTAGTAGCTAGCCTTACGGCGACATTGGAAGCCAGAAATAGCAAAAAGAACCCCAAACACGAGGAAAGCAGACAGCAGTCTTAGACCGAAAAGCATGGTCAGCTTGCAACTGTGATGTGGAAGCTTTCCGACTGTCGTATGCAAGATGCACGGTTGAGACCATACGCCCTGAACCCTAACCCAACTTCCTGCCTCGGCATCGAAGAAGGAGCAGTGGAAGATATTGATTCGCAGGTGCCTGCACAGTGGGATTTCCGACCTCATGACCGGACTTGAACAACTGCAGCACTCTCTCTAGGTGTGTGTACATGTATGTATGCATTTGTGCTTGTGTATATTTAACAGACACACATACATGTATAGAGACGGACAGACAGACACACAGACACACAGACAGGCAGGCAGGCAGGCAGGCAGACAGACAGACAGACAGGAAGATAGAGCAAATGGACAAGAATGTGTAAGTACAGAAGTTTTGAATCTGTCTGCAAACATAGTTTGGCTGCGTACGTAGAAAGATCCAAAGAGAAACAGAGAGGGAGAGAGAGTCAGAACACACGCGAGTACACGCGCAAACAAACACGAAAAATCATTCGAACGGCCTTTGTTTACAGTGCTTCGGCTCTCCGGACCCAACTATCCCTTGAAGCGAGCTCCATCCACAAGCCGACTCAGACCTCAAAAGGGAAGCCTCGGGTTCATCGGGCTCCCCTGCTGTAGGCGGCAAGGCCTCATCTAGCCTTGAACACCCTCTGCAGTGGCATGGCCTCATCCCGCATCTGCAACTTGAAAGGCGTAAGACGAAGGCCACAGTAGACCAACACCCGAAGTCGCAAAGACTACAGCGCTGCACCCGAACCCCTAAACCCTAAATCCTGAACCGTAAGCTGCGAAGCAGGCCTGTCGCCTTGGGTGAACTCGATCCTCAGGAAGGGCGACGCTAGGTAGCAAAAAGCACATAGTTGCATGTAACCATGATGCTACCACCAACAGACACGGCCCGTGGCATCAGCATCATGATAAGCTACACTGACTCCACGGACAGCATAATCCTTGAGCAGCCCCAGAGGAAAACTTGAAAGTTTCGATCCTCCTCTCCTCAGAACCACCCGACCCTCTGCTAAGCTAATATACACGGGCCCAGGCCGTGCCGAACAAAAGACTTCTGTGTGAGCTTGCAGTCACCCCAAGAACACCGATTCACTACTCTCAGGGCTTTCAGGCTTACCATGAAGACCTCTGAAAAATCGTCTCATCCTTTTCTTGTTCGCTCTGTCCTGCATCGAAGGGCGAGCTTGTACTTGCATCACCGGCCCCATCTCAACCCTATCATCTATCGATCGATCTATCTATCTATCTGTCTTACTGACTAACTAACTAACTAACTAACTAACTAACTATCTAACTTCCTAACTAACTACCTAACTAACTAACTAACGAACGAACGAACTAACTAACTGATTGACTGACTGACTGACTGACTGACTGACTGACTAACTGACTATCCATTTATGTTTGTCTATGCGTATACCTATTTCTATATCTGTATCTATCTGTGTAGATAAATATATAATATATATATATATATGTACACATATATGTATATATATTTATATATAAAAATAAATACGTACATACTTATATACTTGTATGTACGTATGTATGTATGTATGTATGTATGTATGTATGCATGTACGTATGTATATATGTACGTATGTGTGTGTATGTATGTATGTATGTATGTATGTATGCATGTATGTATGTATGTATGTATTTATGTATGTATGGATGTATGTATGTATGTATGTATGCATGCATGTGTGTCTGTGTGTGTGTGTATATATGTATGTACGTATGTACATAAGTATAAGTATGTATGTATGTATGTATGTATGTACGTACGTACGTACGTACGTACGTAGGTATGTATGTATGTATGTACGTATGTATGCATGTGTGTGTGTGTGTATGTATGTATGTA